CCGGAGCCGCCGGGGCAGGACTAGCGGCGCCAGCGCTCAGGCCCTGCTTCCTCCCCGAGACCCGCGTCTGACAAGAGCATCTGCAGAGCCGACGTTTACATCGCTTAAATCAAGCCGATAAAAACGCCACAAGTCCTTGTTCACCCTGAGATAGAATAGATTTATTAGCAAGAGGTAATCAGGAAACATATATTTTTACAAAAATGGAAATATTTTTCCAAACAAGCTGTAAGTTGAAATATTTTAGGGCTTGAAATAGAATTCTCATACCACAAGGTATTGCTTACAGCAAAAGTTTTCTGTTTGTTATAGTGGAGCATGCCTGCCACTTTAAAGTTAAACTGTGTTTATATACTGTACAATGTAAAAAATACATGGTAATATTCACAGAATAAGCACTACATTACTATATTCCTGCTAGAAGGTGGTTAGACAGGATTACAGTATATGTAATAAAAACACTTGGTCATTTTTTTCTAATTCTACATCATGTTACTAATAGTTGTCACAAGGTATACAGATTTATAGCATATCAACAGAAGCTTGTCATGAGTATTATGCAGCTAAAACAGTCAAAGATACATTTTCACCTTCCCTGCTTACACTGAGGCCTGGGCAGCAGCAGAGCTAGGCGCTGCGCGGTTCGCAGGCAGCAGCCCTTCCTGGCACAGCTGGAGCGCATCGCCTGCCGTTCTCGTCGCCAGTCTCTCCGCACGGCGTTACCGGAGCAGGGGTCTGGGGGCACAGAAAGAGAGGGCAGCTTCACAGAACGGGGTAAACTTTAATTTTTTACTGTTCTACTGCTTTACAAAGTTTGCCCAGTGACATAACCGTTGATATCATCCGCGTGAGCAGAAGTTGTTTCATACGACATTTCAGTCAGGTGGAAATACATTTCTTTATTTGCTTGACTCCAAAACGTGTGTGGTTCGGTTGTGGCAAGTACACGAAACATGCTGAAGAGGCACATGAGTGCCGCAGGTGGGGAAGGGAAAGTGATTTGCGCTGTGCCCATGGTTTGTGTAAATCCTGCTACCCCAGCTGTCCCCAACCCCCGCCCCTTGAGAACAAATGACAAAAATAACATCCTTTAAAAGAAACTGGGACTCCAGCTAAAGTGTCTATGCATGAAACCCTAAACAATGCAGGAAACGCTATGCAAGTTCTACTGTGGGCTGATGACGAGAGGTTCGGTTTTCTTGGAGGAGCACAAACTCGGAAGTCACTCTAGGGCGCCCAACATAAACAGACAGATATATACAGTATGATATAGGGTGTGTACACTCGCATCCGCCGCCGCCGCCGGGCCGGACTCAGGAAGGCAGTTTGGGTTCTATTCGCAGAGAAGCTTCATAAAGCGTTTCCTCATCCATCACAAACGACTGGTCCAACAAATACTGCGTCACCTGCAAAAATTACAGCGTCAAAGCGTGAACAGTTAGGACTCACCTTTGCTTCTCTTTGAAGCCAATGATAAAAGCTGAGATTAGGAAATGATGAAGCCGCCGGCAGTAAGGAAAGAGGAATAGCTGAATCGCGGAGAAGTGCCTGCAGTTCCTGCCAACGGACATAGAAACTGCCCGTGCTTGTCTCAGCCCAAGATTGCAAATTTTTGCAGAGTCCTCAGTTGCTCTTCTGTTTTTACCGCCTAGTTTTCCTCTCCGTTACTGTTTTATCGGCCACAAAGTTCTCTCCTGTGAGAACACAAAATCCTGCTAATTAAGTTATCGCTTTGGTGGGGAAACGTACGTTCCTCTTCCTGCAGGAGCGCTGCCGATGAGTCAGGAAACCTGCTGGCGTTCGTCGCAAGGACGTGAGCCAACAGTTCCTGGGAGATTTTTTCCAAATGCCTGTTTGGATCGTTGGGGGCGACGGCGGCTGGCAGCCTGCACCTCCCGCGCCTGTGCCTCGGCCCATCG